TATAAATATATGTATATATTATAAAATACGTTTTTGTATTATATAATATATATTGAACCAAGTACCCAAGCTTTTCAGCGAAACCCTTTTTTGGTCGAACTTGAAGTTAAAGTACCTAATCAAACTATCCTAAGGGAGCGGATTAACTGGAGACAAATGCATACACATTCGGCTGAACTATCTATCATGATTGAACGAGTTCAGATGTGTGCCTGGTAAGGGAGCGCCCTACAGTGTCCTATAGCACATCCCTGTGTGTATTATCATGACAGGAGTAATTAATTCTCCTCATTAAGACACTTTGGCCGAGTTTTTAAGATATTTATCTTTCTTTTATAAAAAGTCATGGCACTTATAAATAATATATTATATTATATTATAATAATCGAATTTAGATAATTATTGAATTGAATCAATGTGTATTCAAATTCGATTCGATAATTTGATCGATACAAGATGTATATTCGAATTTGACCGTTCACACTATCCGAATTATTCAAATTCAATTAGATTATTTTTGATATCGAATTCGAATTTAAATTTTCGAATACCATTGACACCCCTAATTCCTTCATTGGTGACCTGGAGCGTTGGGAAAAATTCTTCCTTTTATGACATTCTCAATCCCTATTATAGGCTTGCATTCTCAATCCCTATTATGACATTAATCACCATAGTCCCATCATATCAATTTAATTTATGACACGTACAACAAACTGTTGTGTTATTTGAACATTTTACTTCAGCTAATGGATTAGGTCTGTTGGTACTTTTTCTTGGGAGAATGACTGATAATCCTAGAGTCAGAATTTATAGGTTTAAAGTATATTTGGGGTAGATACCAGATCGGAATTGATGCTAAATCAAGAACGAATATGGATACATAGAGTGTGGTTTTTGGACATTCTGAATGTTTATAGCTTTACATTAATGCTAATTCAAGAACGAATATGGATACATAGAGTGTGGTTTTTTGACATTCTGAATGTTTATAGCTTTACAGCAGGAATCATAAGTCTATATTAGACTTATCTGTACTTTTCTGTAAATTAAACCGATTAAATGCATTTAAAATTGGTTTAATGGTTTTATATACATGTCGGTTGGTTTCGGTTAATCAGATAAATAAATCGATAGTCTCTGTTCGGTTGGCACATCTATATATGTAAATTAAACTGAGTCGAACCAACCCATCTACACCCCTACTGGTAAGATTACAAGGTTCTCCTTACTCGTGTGTGAGATTTTCTTTAGAATGGACCTTTCATGAATCATATAGCCGAGGAAGATGGTTCAATGCTCAAGTCAATGGAGCAAAACATATCTAGAATGAGAGATACTATTATTATTTCGGCTGGAACCATAATTTTGCTTCACTAGTTGGAAAGAAATTGATAATTCTAAGGCTATTCGTTCTGAATTTAGCGTGTATTTTGTTGTATGGGTCTTTCATGATAGGCATTTATCAAAACATCACCATGTTATCGCTGAATCAACATTTTTTTCATCATATTCATCTATACGCATTGATATTCATAAAATTGGGTTTTGACTTATGTGCGCACTTTGGGGAGAGTTTCATTTTAACGCTCCCCTAATGGTTGAGCATTTATTCACTATTCTTTTGATGTAGCGCCTAATAGCACCTATTTGTCTATAAACAATTTATCAAATACTTTTCTCAACTTTAAAAATAAATCAAGTACAAACATTTCTTTAATAAACACAAGCTATACCAAACACATAATCAATGATAAAATTAACAATACGTGAAGTGAATCCTAATCAATTTAAATTTTAAGCCCAAATTTGACCTATATAATGTTAGACGTCATCATCTACGTGTAGAAGAAATACTAAATGGTTCTGAAAGGAGAATGATAGATGTACATGAACTAACGTAGAAGGATGCTCTTTAGGCTGTGCTTGGATTCCGATCATAAAGAAAGGAATTGACAATTGAGGACCAACTTTGGGTCCAAGAGGAATGCTAGTCTACATGTGCTTCTACAAAAGCAGAAATGTATCATTGCAGAGACGATCAATTCTGTGTTTTTGCGGATTAATTTCAAAATTCATAGTCATTTCAACTCCGCCAAATGGGCTCCGGTGATTCAAACAATCATATTTCTTTGCAACAAGGTTGTGAGTCAAGAGAGTAGTCTCGTGGTGGTTTGATTTCTGGGTAATTGGGAATCCCTGATTTCCACATTTACACTTCTATCTCTGTGGGTCGGACAAAGCATACCGAATTCATCTCGTGATTCACAACCTTGTTATTACTTGTGCCTACTGTTGTTGCCTCCACAATGGTGGACTAGAGTACCGTGTCTCTAAGAATAATAAATAAATTAATTAAATCAAGACAAGTCAAGCACGGAATTTCTAGGAGATGAATACGGACCCAAATCAAGGATTCTATGCCAATTTTGTATTTCAATGCAGCCTCAGTACTCAAGAGATATTCATGCATGTATTCTGAAGGGTCTATCCTGACTAATACAAGCATCAAAGTAGTTTATTAAATAAAGATACATCAACCTACTTAATTAGGGTAGGATCCAATTAAGATTGTAGTCTGTAGATGAAAAATGGAAACCTCAAAGCATACGCAATTAGTGAATCTTGCATCTGGATTCCCTCATATTGTACTAAAGGTTATAGTTCTACAAGGGAAGGAGGAATTAGTTATAAAATCCACTCCTACCTGCTTCACTCATGATATTGCATGTACAACTCGGGTTGGCCCGACTTAGCAAGACAATATTTTACAATGCTTGGGGTCAGCCCTTTGATCGAGTTGGGCCCATTCGAAAGTGGTCCAATATTCCGAGTCCATCCAATACCTTCAATTGCAGTTATTACTTATTTTAGGGAAGGACATGATCGAGGCTTGCATGACTCTAGTTTATGAATATACACTACTTGGACTGTGTTTAATTGGGTGTATTTATCGGTCTAACAGGCTTTTGAAAAATCCACTTTTTATAATGTGGTTTTTAAAAGAGTGCTCTTTGAGTGTTTGGCTCGTCTATCAGCTATTTTGTTCAAAGTTAAGTAAAGTAACTTCTTGCAAATGTGAAAAGTTAAATGGAGCATTTCTCCACTTTTTTAAATGGGGTTTTTTAATGCAAAAACTAATTTAGATATTTTTCACCAAATGATTCTTTTAGTTGATTTAGCAATTGGCTTCCCCAATATGAAAAGTACAAAAACTTAGAGAAGCATTCCTAAATCTTGGAAAGGTGGGTATTAGAGCAATAGTTGGTTGCTCCATGGTGACCTTAGTGATCAGGGTTCAAATCTTGGAAATAACATACATGTATAAGGGTAAGACTGTGTACACCTGTTCCTCCCCAGACCCTACATTGGTCGAGAACCATGCCCACTGGGCTGCCCTTTTTTACTAATAACCCATCTTAAACTGACCCCATTATGTTCAACGTTGGGATGCCAATAGGTTTGTCTCAACTCGAGCCCAACAAGACTTTGACTACATCTTCATGTCCCAACACAAACCTGCTTCCCCCAGAACTAGATCTAGTGAGACATGAATAAGCAAGGCAAGGTGATATAAATTATGAAAAATTTTAATGGAGGAGGAAATTAAAACAAAAAAAAAATAAAATAATAGATCACTAATTAAATCTTCATAGGAAAGCACTTGGAATGTTGAACATATATTCAGCTAGCTTGGGGAAGTGGGGATGGCCTAATGACCTCTATTGAAGCAGCAGAGTCTCTTAATGAACAAATTAAATCATCAATTAGTTGAAAACCTGATACTGTGTAATCAATAATACTGTAATTGTATCCCTTTACAATCTCTTCTGCAAGTTGTTTTGAAGAGTGGTTAATATATATCTTCAAATGTACAGAGTTGACATACTTAAAAAGGTCCAACAAGAGGTGCTCCAATCAGCCAAGTCTTGAGCGACTTCTCCATGCATGGGCCATACGCGTTATTGTTGACAAATTAAGATGGCAAAGCTATGGAACTTGACATTCCAAACTTTTAAAATAATGAGAGTCAAGAGATTCTTTGGGTTGGGTCCTAATTCCATAATTTTTATTCGTTGAATAAGGCAACAGATTGGGGCGGCCCTTGGCTACAGACGGGGCATCTTTGTAATCAACACTGGTAATTTTATTGACCCAAATGCCACAGATACTTTCTTGGTCAATTATGCAGCTAGCAGATCCATACTTCATCTTAATAAAACATCCAAAATGTGTTTTGGGACCGAGTAAAGAAATATATGATCCTGGGGCCCAAGTATATATTTCCATCTTTTTCTGTTTTTTTAATCACAAATTAGTAATGATAATTGGAATGAAACAAACCAAATAGGCAACTAATTTACTAATATTTGTTTATACTTACCATCAATTTTCTGGTAAAAGTTAAAAAGTTATATTATGAATTGATAAAAAATTTTGAAAATTAAAAAAATAAAAGAACAAGTCACCACTAAATTTTCCTATACCAGATTAAAAAAAATAAAAAGAAAAGACTTAAAATAAAGACCTTGGGTTGGTCAAATTATTGGTAGCTAGGAATTGGGATATTACCAAAACTATTCTTTGATTAACAAATGCAAAGAATATAAATGAAAGAAAAAAAAATCAGAAGACCAAGTCACAGAAAATATAGTAGTTGAAGTTCTGTTTTAGTCAGGCCGTGTTCTGGTCAAGCCATTGGTCATTCAGAAGTTACAAACAAATTCCGGCAAAGTAGGGTTCCCATCTGACCTGGACTCACAAGACGCCTAAACTGGAGTGAATCTCCAGATTTAGAGCTTCCCTGTCAATGTGTCCACATTGTGGCATGAAGAGTAATTGCCAAGCAAGAAAGATGAATGAACAGACTGCTTTAAATTATTTAATTTCTTTTAATCTCCATAGCATGAAATAATAAATAGCCAACAACTATTTGACTCTCTTGTTCTCCTCCTATATATACCCCAATCCCCCAGCCCCCAAACACAAGCACACAAAGCTAGACTAAAAGATAAACCATATCCCAAGAGTAAACATTCTTGGGCATTTTCTTCTTGTGTTTCTTCTTGGGTTTCTTCTAAACAATTAGTTCATAATCTCCAACATCTGTCTCTTTCCATCCTTTCTATCCCAAGCATGGAGATTGAAGAACTCATGGCAGAAAGCATCCATGGTGACTCAACAATAGAGGGACACCATGGAGAAAACTATGCTAGGAAAATGTTTCAAGCCCTGGTGAGAAATCCATCTGTGCGAAGATATGCTTCGGATGTTTCAGATGAGTCGCTCAACCGAACCAAATCCATTAAGATGCTCCAGATGGGCGTCGATAGGAGCGACCCCGCTGAGACCAAATTTGCCTGGCTGCGTTCACAGCTGGTTGGAGCCGAAGTCGAGTTCGATACTCCATATGGGAAACGCCTTCTTACCTATGCCGATCACACTGCTTCTGGGAGGGGTCTTCACTATATTGAAGATTACATTACCAATGATGTTCTTCCCTACTATGGTTAGCTTTTGATGAGCTCTTGTAATTGCTTTTATTGACAAAACATTAATCGTTTGTTGGGATTATTTTTCCAAGAGGAAAGCTTCTGAATCGAATTGAACCTTTACCCATTTGTGCAGGTAACACTCACACTGGTGATAGTTTCGTTGGACACAGAACGACCAAGATGGTGCATGAAGCAACAGAATACATCAAGAGCTGCTTAGGGGGTGGCGTTGATGATGCACTCATCTTCTGTGGCTCCGGCACCACCGCAGCTATCAAGCGCCTCCAAGAGGTGATGGGAATTGCAGTTCCCTCGATCATGAGAGAAAGAATGCTGAAGACCCTAAGGAATGAGGAGAGATGGGTGGTGTTTGTTGGGCCATTTGAGCACCACTCAAATGTCTTGTCATGGCGACAGAGCCTAGCGGAGGTGATCGAGATTGGTATCAATGAAGATGGCTTGCTAGACATGGCAGCTCTGAAACTCCAACTCGAGACTTACAAGTCCTCCAATCGTCCTATGTTGGGTTCATTCTCTGCCTGTAGCAATGTCACCGGAGTCTATTCTGATACACGCGCCATCGCTCGGCTTCTTCATCAACATGGTGCCTTCGCATGCTTTGACTTTGCTGCGAGGTATGTGTTTATTCCTTTGTTTGGGTACATATGTTTGTGCTGCGCCTGATAACCAATTAACGTAGATTTATTTGGATTGGTGCAGTGGTCCATACGTGGAGATCAACATGCGATCAGGAGAGCTGGATGGGTATGATGCTCTTTTTCTTAGCCCACATAAGTTCCTCGGTGGCCCTGGAACCCCTGGTCTCCTTCTGATGAGCACCGCCTTGTATCAGTTGAGATTTTCTCCCCCTTCAACCTGTGGAGGAGGAACTGTGAGCTTTGTAAATGGCTTCTCTGAAAGGGTAAAGACTCCACATATCTTCTAACGCATATCGTAGTTTTTACTCGTTTATGGACTACTGTTTGAGTTCTCGATCATGCATGTTATACTGAGATAATAATATACAAACATGATTTGCAGGACACTTTGTATTATGAAGACATAGAAGAGAGAGAAGATGCAGGGACCCCACCAATCATCCAAAAGATTCGAGCAGCACTAGCTTTCTGGGTGAAGGAGTACATTGGTTACAGTGTGATTGAAGAACAAGAACATTTATATGTAAATGCAGCTCTGAGAAGGCTTCTCCCCAATCCAAACATCTGGGTGCTGGGGAATACCCGAGTAAAGCGACTATCAATTATCTCTTTCCTTATTTTCACCACCTCAAATTCATCCACAGATGTGGGTGAAGATGGTAGAAGAGTGAGAGACAGAGGACTCAACATGTGGAGAGAGTATGGGAACAAGAAAGACAAGCCTCTCCATGGGCCATTTGTCGCCAAGCTCCTGAACGATCTCTTTGGCATACAAGGCAGAGGTGGGTGTGCTTGTGCTGGCCCTTATGGTCACCTTTTGCTTGATGTCAAGGAGACTCTTTCTCTTGCCTTCCGATCTGCCATCCAGAAGGTAAATTATTAAATTCTTCATTGGTCATTTGCAATTAAAAGCTCACAAAGTAGTTCTATACTTCTAATTAAAGCAAGCTGAACTGAAGTTGAGGCCATGGGTCTCCCTTTGCTTTTGAGGCCCAATATGTATTAAAATCATAAGCCCACAAGTATGGGCCTATATGGGCCACTGGGTTGACCAAACTCAATAACACCCAGTTAAAGCTGATTAATGTGTTGTCATTATTGTTATTTTGTAGGGCTATGCTGGTGTCAAACCTGGATGGACCAGAGTTAGCTTCCCCTACTACATGTCCATGGAAGAGTTCGAGTTTATCATAGCTGCAATGGAATTCATAGCGATATACGGCCAACGCTTCCTTCCTCTGTATCATTTCAATTGGAAAACTGGCAACTGGATTTTCAGAAAAAGAGCATTTGTTGATAATCAAACAGGAGAGGAGCGTCCTCTTGACTTCAGTAAATTGGCATTAGCTCAAAAGAAGGCTACTGGGGTGGTTAATAAGTATGCATCCTACTTAGAAGCTGCTAAGATTATGGCAAATTCCCTCCCAAAGTTTCCTCCACCTCGTAAGGTGCCCAAAGACATAGATCTCAGCCTCGTTCACTTCAGGGTCTAGCTCCTCTCTGGTGTCTTTTTGTGGAGGAATAAGCATTCACATCAAAGCAAAGCAACTAAAGAGCAGAAAGAGGATTACATCGCGTAATCCTTGGATTCCTCTGAATAAGCAAATAAAATATAGGAACAGAAGAAATTACTTCTTGTAATCATTTTACTCAGAAGATACCACAATTTAATAGCATGTTAGTTGTGCTCTGAGCTATTCATGCTTTGCATTTAGTCATCAAGAAAATAGGCTTTTTTTTTTTAATTTGTTCCATAAATTATTTAATTTGTACTTTATTTGCAGCTTAATTAATAAAATTTGGTGGCACCATCACCCAGGCTTTTGGGAAAGACAAGCAAAAAGGAAGACCCAACATTCTTGCTTGTTATCTATTTTGAAATTCACTTTTGGATTTTCATTGCATACATAATGGGCTGTTAAATGTAGTGTGGAGAGGGCAGTTGAATTTATTTATATTTTTGTTTTTATTTCTCTAAATTGATAGGTCAATTGCAAATTTTACTTTTCGAGAAGTCCAATGCAATGAAAACTGGACTTAAGCCAACAAAGACATTGAACTATGCATTTGCAAAGAGATTTAGGTAGTGTTTGAGAACATTTAAATTTAGGTAGTGTTTGAGAACACTTAAAAGTAAGACATGGGACCACACATTAAGTGGTTTTTAAGTATTTATGGGTGTTTGGTAAAAAAGAGGGTAAGAAGTATTTATTATTAAAAAAAGTACTTAAAAAAATGATATGGATGTGGCTTTTTTTTAGCACTTTTTGAAAAAGTGTTTCTTCATTTGAAGGGGACAAATCCATCCCTGTTTTTTCTTTATTGACAAAACTACCCCCACTCGAGTTTATCATCTTCTTCTTCCATTTGAAACACTATAACAACAGGCAACGGCAGCGTTTGGTTGCAGGTCCACCAACGGCGTTCTAGGGTGAGCAAAAGCCAACGTCTCAACGCATCCAATCTCTTCCCTTTGTACAATCCTTGAATGAAGACTGTAACTAAACGCATTCGGTGAAATCCCATTATTCTACATCTTTCTAAAAATCTTCTTGGCATCATCAAGTTTTTGAGCCTTATAGAAGCCCTCAACTACAGCTGTGTAGATTACAACTTCCAGGAACGTACCCTTCTCGTGCATTAACCCAAACAGCTTCATGGCCTCTTGGACCAGCCCATCCTTGCAAAGGTCATCAAGCATTGCCACAGCATTCGGGATGAGACCCGTTTCCTTCATTTTCCTAAAAATTTCATCGGCATCTTGTGGTGTCGAATCTAGTTCTGCTTTGACATCAGTTTCTGCAACTTGGGTGGGAGAAGTTTCATTTGTATTCTCTTTCTTCTCTTCACAAAGCCTTAATTTTTTGAGGAAATTCTCGTCCAATGGACTCCCTCTCTTCTCTCCCTTCATGGGTCTATTAGGAAACTGCACTGAAGGACTTTGCTACGACTCCGATGTCCTTCTCTCGTTGACGATGTCTGAACCAAAGTTGAATTTGTAGGGAAAAGTATCACCGTTGAACCTACCATCTCTCTTTCCCTCTCTATTGGATCCAAAATCAGTTGGTCGTATTTAGTCAGGTTTTCTCGTTTTCTCATTTTCTCATCATTTTCATCATTTCCAAGCTTGAATTTTCCATTGAAATGATATTAAGATGGCTCTCGTCGTTTCTCTCATCTCAGATGGACTAGTTGGGGATAAAGCTAGAAGACAACGGAAGAAGGAGAGGGAGTCAAGAGAGACTTGGGAGGCGGAAATGGGAATCCAAGAATTTTGTGAAGGTTGTTAATCAGAGGAATCTTTCTGTTGTCCAGTCTATAGTTCCGGTGGTTCCGATAGTTCTAGTGAAGAAAATGAGAGGGAGAGGGAGAGATCTGAATAATCTACAGTGGACGGTAAAATTGTCATTTGTATCAATATAAACACTTATGGGGGAAGTAGCTTACCAAACATCCCCACCCCAATAAATGCTTAAAAATATAATAAGTGATTTGAAAAGTGAATTACCAAATAGCCTTAAATTGTTAAAATAAGTACTTCTAAGAAGTACTTGTTACACAAGTACTTAATCATCAAACAGGGCCTTAGGCAGTTCCATTACCAGCAATATACCGATATTTTCAACCTATCATTGTCTTGGCTGGTCGAACAATTTCAGTTCGGGTTAACTTAAAATTTGCCAATTCTTTGAAAACCATTGATTTGGGTGTGTGTTTGAAACTATAGTCATCTTGTGGATGAACCATTTCGGTTCACACCATGGGGTGATCACAGTGTTCGGTTTGTTGTGGATAGGACTGGTCCACAATATATCATGGACTAGCCCCGTCCACACCTCAAAATCTCCTCAACACATATATATCATGGTTATAATTGGCCCACATTGATTTTCTCTCTACTTGATATTGTACGTCTCCTCTTTATATTGTGCCCTATATTTTTACCGTTGGAAAATCATTCATTAATAAATAATAATTTTATTAATTTTTTAATATTTAATTTTATCAATAAAATGATGATTTTTTATTTTAGTTTTAAATTGTTTTATTACTATTTTTATTAAAGTAAATATTTATTGGCTAATATTAATTTATTAATGCATTTTTCAATTTATTATATCATATAAAGTGTAAAAATTAGACACTTATGATGAACCGTGTAGGTTAGTTCATAAATTGTATATGAGATATATGGAATCAAAAAGTAGATGTGGACTGAACCAATCCACATAGTGTACCCACAGTTCAAAACAAATATGGACTATAGTGTGGTGTGGATCGGTCCTTGATATAGTAGTGTGGTGTGGAGTAATCCACACCCACTAATTTCTCTTCTACGCTACAAATTTAATCAATGACTCACACTTCGGCAGTTGAGTTGTTGACCCACTTGACTCAGTCAGCAATTTAGGTTACTAATTACAAGAATACTTCCAAAGGCTTTAGCATTGCCCTCGCTTGTTGGATTGGGGTGATTTTTATTCTTAATTTTGATTTGGAGTAACTTTCGTGATCTATGTGATATTTTGGCACTTATCCCAGTATTCATTTGGAGTAACTCATGAATCTATGTATTTAATTATATTAATTTATCTATTAATGAAGTATCTATTGCTGTCAAGATTTGCAACAATGGAGAATCCCTGCTGAGTTGGAATCACAAAATTCGATCTAAGACCTGAGAACTCCATGATGTTCAGGTTAGAAAAAAGGAGGAACAGAGAAGAGAGACACACAGCTTTATTTGAGAAATTGTGAAGTAGTGTCATGTGGTTGCTAATACTTCAGTTAAGCACCCTATACAGAGGAGGAATCCCTGACGTAGGAGGAATAAGTTTCCATGTTAAACTTGGTTTACTTATTCGGCATTCCCCCTTTCTTCGCTTGATTTCTTCAAGGATAGACCTTTCAATAACTCGGGCTCCTCTGTCCTGTTTCTCCTCATTGTTAATTTCTCCACTTTTCCCTGATTTGTGCCACATGTCAGACTCTAATTGGTGGTTGAAATATGGCCTATCAATATTAATTATTAACCAATTTAAATTGAATTCTAGCTCACTCCAGTAGGAGGTTTTGGGTTTCCTCAAATTAGCCCTATTATATCATTTTCTCTTCTTTCTACATTAAAGTAGACAAGAAGAAGAAAATCTCTACCTTTGAGGAATTGTTAATTTGATACTAGCAGGTCAATCCTCATGCTGAATTATCCTCTCACTCCCTATACACAAACTCGTTCTTGCTAACCACAGGAATAATTTGACCTTTACGTAACACTTAGTACTCCATAAGCTTTTGAACATCTTATTTACCCCTACCTATTGGTTATCTATTCTTAAAACCTAAAAACATCTAAGATGGGCTTGCTCCCCACCACATTTTATCCTCCCATATTTATGAGTTCACATCTGCACCCCACAACGTCCCACAGCGCATTCCTCCCGTGTATTGAAAACATCTCCTGATGATAGTATCAGACCCGATGATGTCATCATCAGGAGGAATTCCCAATACAAGGCGGGAATGCGCTGTGAGACGTTGTGGGGCGCCCCCTCGTGGGGCGCATATCTGAACTCTTTATTTATTGGATAGGTACAACATCAATAGATCTCTTCCATAATGTTGGATGGAATCTAGGGCCATGTATACTTGGTTCAACTCTTATTCTTGTTCATTCTTTCCAACAATAAAATTTTAGAATGGATAAAAATGAGTAGAATGAGTAGAATGTGAAAATGTTACTATGAACCAAATACATCTTTTCCAACAAGTATGAAATTTTTCGTCACAAGGATGAGAATAAATTCGAAACCTATTTGGTTACAAACTTCGATTTTATTCTTTTTTTTTCAACCAAAATAATAATATAGGTTTAGAAATAATACCCATCGGTAGATGTATAGTAGAAACAAGCAAGACCAAACACAAATAAACCATTTGGGCCTCACATCAATCACACAAAATATGAAAAACAAAAGAAAACAAGAAATTAGAAAATCTTTTGCATTTGATTGCATAGAGAAAATATAAAAGAAAATTTAAAGGAAGAAATTAGCACATATTTAAAACTAGTTGCTGAATTGAATAGGCAATTGTGTAAATGAAAAAAAAAAGAGCTTGAAACTTCCAAATGGAAATGAAATTTAAAAATTGTAAAATTAAAAATAAAATAATAGCATGGAGAAGTACAAAATGTTTTAACAATTTCATCAAATTGGTATATTGGATAAACATAATATACCAAGAAAGTCATAAAATAGAATAAAACATCATATCAAAGTGCCCCATGTCCATTTTCATTCTTCAAAAACACTTTGTATCGGTGGTCCTAAACCGCTGGCCTAGGTCTCCAAAATTGCTAATATATAGATGTTTACTTGCGGATGGCCAATGGTAAACATCTATGCTAGTGGTTTTGTAGACCTAGGCCAACTATTTATGACCATTAGCATAGAGCTTCTTTGAAGAGTGAAAATAAGCCATATGGGGCACAATTATTTTTTATGTTGTAGGCTACCTCCATTTTTGTGCATAGGTTGATTTTTCATTTTGAATTTTGTAACCAAATGCTATAATATTATTCATTCTTGCCAATTCTTCCCTAAAATGAAAAAGAATTGAAAGAATGAGGCTTAGAACAACAAACCAAATATTGCTTAGGTTACTAATTCTTGATAGAATTTTCTCATTATTGTCTTATTCATACCTAATCGATTACTTTTGTTCACTTTTATTGTAGCTTGTTTCTCTTGGTTTTATTCTAAGCATGGTTTTAAAAACCAGACCAAAAATGGAACCATTTTGGCCATTGATTTCTGGGTTAAATGGTCTAAATGTCTAATCCGAGGCAAAGTTAGATGGTTTTGGGGCCAAAATTGGACCCAGATTCATGACCGGTTCCTTGGTCAACCAATCCAACTGTCTAGTTTGATATGGTTTTCAAAACCATGCTCTAAACATTATTGATTGAAATTTGTGATTTATTTTCCTTATAAATTAGCCAAACTAATACTTAATAATTCGCTCATTTTTCAATTATTTAACTATGTCACCCTTGCCCACCATCTAATTGTTATACAATGTATGCCCTTAGCTTTAATCAAATTGATATATACAAAACATTTATCAGTAAATGAATAAAGTACAATTTTTTATGTTTTAATTTATATGTTTTTGTGATTACTCTTTAAACTGGAAATTTTTGAGACTTTGTTAGTTTAGATTGTTTTTAATCATTGAATAGACTTGGGGACTTTATCCTAACAATGTTGACATTGGTGTGCTACCAAATTAGTGGAACAGCTTACCTCAACTGGTAGGGTTAGACTCAAAGCATAGTTAGTGGTTGTTTGGAAGAAGTACTAAACCTGAACCTTGAAGATGGATGGACAAAACTAGAAATTAAGTTATACTTAACCACAAACTTGCTTATGATATTGCATTAGGTTTTGGATTGAATTGTCTTTGATATGCAAACCAGTGAGATCCATCAAGCGTCAAATATCTGGGTATGTAGGGGCAATTTAGGAAATTACTTGAGTGGGTGATCATAATGATGGAGTCAGACCCTTTATTAGACAAAGCAAAGAGTGTGACACTACATTTTGTAGTAAGGGAAGATGACATTTTCTATGGTCAATGTTTTGATGATTATGGGCCAAGAGTTTAGGTATAAGTAACTATTATAGGGTTGATTACTTGTTGGGGTTTATTTTACATAAGCCCATATTCTTGGATCTTCATAATGTGGCTGAATCCAATGATCATTTATGTAAAAATGTTGGGTTCAATTTGAGCCCAAGCTAATTGGGTTTGGGGTTCACTGCCTTTGAGTAGTGAATTCAACCTAACATCTTCTAGAGGTAGGGCTAAACCCTTATTGACTTGTGTGAGACCTTTGTGAGTCCCACAGTGGTCATGCAACACCTTGGGAACCATTAAAGAAAATGGGCCTAAGGCCCATTACCAATATGATTAGTTAAGAAGTCACTAGATAAATTGTCATGTGATTTGGATTGAAAATGGGCATGGATCTAGGTATGGAGCACCCATTCTCTTAAGAAGATAATGCTTATCAGTTAAAGATAAAGTCTTGATCCAAATTTGATTTGGATAATCTCTTAATTAGATTAGAAGAGTGCTCTATATAAGGGACTAAAATAGGAGGGACAAATTAATTAGTTCTCCCCAATCACTTGCTCTTTTCTCTTCTCACTTGCTTGCCTAAAATCCTAATTCAATTCAATTGTGATAGGAACTGATTTCCATTAGTTCTCTACTTTGCTTTTGCAAGAAAAACATCAAAGAATATCAAGTTCACATACCTACATCGATCAAAGCAAGTTAGAAACTGGTTTTGATAAAATGGTGTTACTGAATTGGCTTCACGTACATACTACACCATCTTTAGCTATATGCCGATTTTGGGACTGATATTGTGTGTGAACCACTATTAGTTTTAATTTGCTTTTCAAATTTGGTCTAATTCAATGTAAGATCGATTTCAAAATTTTAGATGTCAAAATTACCGAAAAATTGATTCATAGGAGGCATTAGAAAAATTTTAAAAATTCTGCCTACCGCCATTGTTTTAAAAGGCTTAATCCTTGAGGTGTGAGGTTTATGCCTTGAGGCAAGGCTGTTAGACAGTGTATGCTCTTAGCTCCAATCAGATTGATGTACATTTGACATTTATTGTAAATGAATAAAAGTACATAATTGATTCATGTTATATCTGGTATGTTTTTGTGTAATTATCCTTAAACTGGACACTTATGAAACTCGTATTAGTTTAGAATGTTTTCAGCTGTTGGATAGACCTAGGGAGATTTATTCTGCAAAGGTTGACACTAATGTGTTGCCAAGTCAGTTGGGGTAGCTTGTCTCAGCTGCTAGGGTGAAACCCGAAGCACATATAATGTGTGTTTACTTGAAACATTGGACTCAGACCATTTTCTAATTATGCCCTGTATCTTGGAGACTGATGGGCAAAATTATTAAGTTACACTTAACCCTTAGACTTGATTATAGTATTGCACTAGGTGTCGGATTTGACTGTCTTTGATATTGCCAATCAGTGAGATCATTTGGGGGTCAAAACCTGGGTATGTTAGGGCAGTCTGAGAATTCACCTGAGAGGGTGATCATAGTGATAGAATCAGCCCCTTTGCAAAGGTTTTAATTCCTGTGATCCATCCGAGTAGAGAGCGTAACACTGTACCTTATAATCGAGGAAGAGATCCTCTCTTATCGAGCGTATTTAATTATTATGGACTGAAATGTTAAATGTAAGACCATTTAAAGATTTTATACCTAATGAATTAATATCACTTAATACGACAATTCTTAGCCAATAACGGCAGTTTTAAAAGGGGCTAAACGGCGAGTGCTGGTAATTTTAAAAGTTGCGCTTTACTCTGCCACTATGCACATTTAAATATTTTATTTAAAAAGTATAAAAGGCACAAAGCAAAAATACACCACCAATTTAGTTGATAAAAAATTCTCCGTGCAGTCAAATTATATTCCGCGCGCGAATTCACTCGCTTAAGGCCTTAAACCGTTCCCACATTTTCAATGGTCAGCAAGGAGGCCGGTCAGCAAGGGTGGCAGAACGGAGAGAGGGATCGATGGAGAAGAAGCTAAGGAAGAGATCATACAGGAGAGTGGAGAGGAGGGTGGAGAGGAGGGTGGAGGAGCAGAGCTTATTGCTGAGGTTGAAGGAGATGAAGCGAGCGAGAGTCTGGTGAGTGCGAGTTTAGCATCGGTGTTCCGGTGAGCCTCGGTTTTAATCAGGGCCCAAACCCATGCTTCCTCTTCGCATGAATCGGTAGATGAAGTGCAGGGTGGCGATGGAGGTTAGTAGCATATTTCATCGGATGGCATCCTTGACAGCGACAAGTAGAAGCGGCAGATTTGAAATTGATTAGGTAGGAAGTTGGAATTAGGGTAGACATGAGGGAGTGAGAAGTCTGGGAGTCGCGTGTGACTTATAAGGTTGGGGCTGAAAGCAGAATCCTTGAGGGAGTGTTTGCTTGGTTCGTTCTCTCTTTTTCAATGGTAAAATCCTTCTAGGGCCAATAATAGAAATATCCGCTATATTAATTTCCATTTCTTGAAATCTCTTTAGAGAAGTTTTGTTTTTTTTTTTTTTTTTTTTCAATTGTTCTATTTTTAGGTTTTCCCTATCCCCCCCGTTTGGCTCCATCAACATTCTTATACCAATTAGCGCGCCTACCCCCTATCTCGTCTCCAGAGGTAATGTACTTTAACAAATCAATAAATCAAAATTTCTTTTTCCTAATTCATCTTGTTAATAAATATAGTATATTTTTGTAACATGGTGCTCCAGATATTTTTAGTTTCCTGTAAATTTATAGAATTTAGTAATGAAAGTTCTGTCAGATTTTGGGAAGAATGGAGTGAACACCCTGTGTTCTCTTATTATTTTTGATTTCAGGCTAGCCCAAAAAGTACGGCCACAGAGTTTTCTAGTTGATCCATCTCTGACAAATAAGGTAAGCTTGAACTTTTTCTAATTTCCATCCTAGCTTACTTCTTTCGGTCCTAGCTTACTACCTTATAAACCCATGAGAAATATTGTCTAAGAAGACATGCATACATATACGTATTAGTGATGGTTTAAAGAATCCATGAAATCCTGATCTATTGTTTAGTTGCATGGGGTTGGATGTAGTGGTGCAAGAGCAGAAGAGTATCAGCTGCAAACAAGTTTTTCCTTGTTTTACTTTAGGAAACAAATGATAGGTTGGACTCATCATCTAGCAGGGGATTCTGCAACTAGGTTCCATGGTTAAAGCAATTAATAGAGAATCTGGATGTAAAAAACTATTAGCAGCCAAACAAGGCTGTAGTTTTCTACTAATAAAAGAATTAAGATGGAGAGAGAGAGAGTAATGACAGAAAATTTTAACAAAAAAATCTAATATTCTTCCCATGTTCTGTTTAGTGAAAGAAAAGATAATTTCAAAAACAAAAAGAGGAAAAAGAAAATGTATGAGCCCTCTTCTTTTGTCCTTTTCTTTCTCTCTCCTCAAATCCCTTTGAATCTTTTATATTTTGATAGTAAAGCCCTAAATAAAACATAAGAAATATGTATTATATGATGGGTTGTATGAAAAGAACATAATAAGTTGTAGACATGGTACTAAAACCGTTTGCCTTTTTCGTGATTTCTCATATTTCAGGAGTCTGATTTTGTGGCTTTGCCTTATTTGTAGATCTCTTATTGGTAGCAGAGCAAATCCTGAATTGCAAAGAAAACGATCTGCCTTTGTTGGGCATTTCTTCATTGCCAAAGTTAGACTTCAAATGCCGCATGAGGACATGGTCTGTGTATATGTTGCTTTTACATTCTATTGGTTTTTGGGGTTATCTTTCTTTTATTTAATATTTATTGTTTATGGCGATTGTTCTTGTTTACCCAGAAACGAGCAATATCTACATTTTATGGTGGTTGTTTATGGAATGGAGGCTACTACAAACAAGAGTGGACATATGGTGGAAGGAGTTGTACAAGGTTAAACCTCATTCCTCCCTGTTTCATTATATATTTTTGAACATTTTCCTTTTCTTTATTGTTGCTATTCTATTCTTACTCTGCCCTTTTCTTTTCAATAGCAACAAGTGGTGGAGTTGAGAAAGGTTGAAAACAATCTTAAGTTCAAAAAAGTAGCCGATTCTTGTGTTGGTTCCTCTGGTAAGGTTGGCACCAAATAATCTATGGAACCCATTTACTCACCATAGGAATCATTGTTTAGTCCACCCATTATCTTTTGTTGACACAGTATCTGGGACCCACTTTTGAGAATGAAAACAGACAAGAAAGAAAAAATGGACTTTTACCGTTTATAGGTTGTGAAAGTAGTGAAAACACATTAATTACTTTGGTCTCATTTTCTTGAGAAATCCCTCAAGGAAATGACCACGTAGGCAAACACCTCCTCAGGCTTCTTCCCTGAATGACCTGACCAGAAATCCCTCTGCAAACAAAATTATGAGAAGCCCTAAAAGGGCCACTATCCAATGTTTGTCCAATCTATCTAGAGTCATGGAAGGATGGACTGAATATGGAACTTACCTTTGGCATTTTTTACAGTGTCCACTCTCAGGCTTACCTAAAACCTCACTTGTCAGCAAGAGGTTTTGCTATTGCACCAGGCAATAGCCTCTTTTATGAAAACCCTACATCTATTTACTTATAAGTTCATTTCCAATGATGACTTTGTTTTTAACAGGTATATCAATCACCTCGGATCTTACTTCTCTGCAGGTTGCTGCTGGAGAACTTGAATTAAATCATGAATGTAATTTGATGCACTGGTCTCCTGAGGACTTTGAAACTAAATTATAGGTATGAACCATAATATCTTATCTTTAATAATCATTTCCTTGGTGCAAAATTGAAAATGGTTGGTTGGAGATTCTTGCATTATTATTATTGTTAATCGTGACCAACATGCAATCGCATCTTTGCTTATTGGTAGGGAGTGAGCAAAGAATTTATTTAGTACATTTCCCATTTTTATTTCAAAATTCAACATTTGAAATTTTTGATAAACAGTGATTCCAAGGCTGGCTTAACTTCTTTTTATGGTTAATAACCAAAAAGGCTTAACTCATCTAAAAAGTAACCAAAAAAACTTATTAATTACTTTCTGTTCTGTACAATTTTATTAATGATAAGAATGTACAAAACTTAACTAATGCAAAATTTCTTCTTTAGTTCAGTGTACCACCACCCTCTACACCCAAAATATAATTCTATCTAAATAAAAAATCTTTCCACTTCAAAAATCTTTTAGCATGGTTTTCCCATCAGTGAAGAAACAAACATCTGCATATGTTTGAACAAAAGGTTTTCCATTATCTTCATAGATTCTACATTGGCAAATTAGTAGAAATGGACAAAATAGAGAAAATAATACTAAGAAGCAAGCTGAGAAATTATTAAATGAAGCTAAGGTTAAAGAATCTGATGAACTCTACCAGTATTCCAGTACGAAAGAAGGTAAAAACAATATGTACAAACTATTAAGGATGAGAGAGATGGAAAATGATACCTAGATCATGTTAGATGCATTGAAAGTGGAGATCAAAGGATTCCTATAAAGAATGAGAAGATTTATAAAAAGCATATCAAGAGCTCACATTTTAAAGGCCTTAGGAAATATATGGAGAGTTGCAAACATAGAAATGGTCATTGAATAAAATCTTCAAAAGTTAAAGAACCCTAAGAAAGATAAAGGTAGGAAATGCTCTAGGACCGGATAGTATTCCAATCAAAGTTTGAAGGTACATTGGTAGATGAGTTAATTATGGTTGACTAACTTGTTTAACATGATTTTTTAAAACAAATAAAAAACCATATGAATTGAGGAGTACAATGGGCCCTATATATATATATAGCAAAGGTGATATGAAGAATTGTACAAATTATTGTGATATTAAGATCATGAGAATGATAGTGAATTAAACTATTTTCTTATTTTATACCCATAATAGTGCAACAAGAATCCAAAGGTCAATGGCTGAAAAAGCAACTACTGTTTCAGTGTGTAATTTGATTTGATCTTCTCCTCGGATTTCTTTTTTTTTCTAGTCCATCTAGTTTATGAAATTCCCACAGGGTACAATTTTCAATTTAAGTTACATGCTATGATAGAACCACTTTTATATGTTCTGTTTGAGCTGTGAGAATGATTCATTTTGAACACTTACTGATATTTTATGTTTCCTGTTTGCATCACTGCAGGATTGGGGGTTTTTTGTGCCATATTTGATTGGGAGTATCTCTTTGATAGTTTTGGCAGTTGGAAGCACTAGCCTAGGGTAAGGCTATGGGGAGAATTTAGAATAAACAACATTTTTCAATATTCTTTCTGGAAAAATAATATGAAATGCCTAGGAGCAATGTGCCAACCAGCTGGTTGGTAAGGTCTCCTACTGGTTGTAGCGGAGACTTGGGATCGAATCCCGCCTTTACCTGGTTTGGGGGATGGGCTACCCCCCCCCCCCCGTCATGTAGCCCTTCAAAAAGATATAAAAAAAATATGAAATGGCTAGGAAGAAGAATTAGTGTATGGAAAAGCAAGGAATGTATGTACCTCAATAGAAAATCAAGTGCTTTTTACAACAGCCTTACTATCATCCAATTAAGAAACAAACTCTCCATTATACAATGTAAAACAATTCATAAAATTATACCATGTAAAAGGGTAGACCCAACTCCAACTCCCCTCATTGCTCAATGCCTCTATCCAGACCTAGAGAAACCAAAAATTGATGGTGGTGGCCCTAGATGAGAGGACAAAAGATGCACGACTAGGTGATATAGAAAGTTAACCCAACCCAAAGATGATGCATTTTCAACTTTTTTTTTGAGGTCCTTATTTGGCTTATACTTGTATAGCATCTAATTGTACAGAGGACCATATACTTTATGGTTTTAATACAACATAGTTTACTTCAAAAAAAAAAAAAAATCTATTTGATCTAGGGAGTGCATGGGTCTTATAGGCCAAAGGCATTGGCTTCTTTCAGCTTCTGGTTACACTATAGAAGGGCCATTACTGTCTCCAACTAAAATAAATGCATTCTAATTATAGACTTACTAGAAAGTTTCCAAATTCATGTTTTTTCCTTTTGGAGGACTTGATTACTTACAAGTATGGACTTTAGAGTTTGAGATCTTAAAAGGGTATTTTCATCCCATCAGTTGATAAACAACAGTGAAGCCATCTGATATGCTGAGCAACTCAAGCTTCAAGGTTGAGAATGGGAGACATATATCAGAATGAATTGAAATAATGTAATTGATTGGTTGATTTTATCCACTAAAATAAATGCATTCTAATTTTAGACTTACTAGAAAGTTTCCAATTAGTAATTTGTTGATATCTTTTTTCATTTTACAGTTACATTTCTTCCTCTATAAGATAGAAATATGATGAAATCAAATTTCCATTGAGTCTCAGTTTCTTACTTGATTGGCCTTCCTATTCTAGGGTATTCATTGGATATTGGAAAAGAGCATGTCAATCTGGTTGATGAAAGGGTGCAGAAGCTGATATACAGTGGGCAGCTTGATGTGAAGGAACTAGACAGGTATCGGTTTGATTAGATATAAATATTGGAAATCCAAATTTAATTAATATCTTCTATTTCTATAGAGCAAGTGGCTATGATGCTTTTATGATTGGGTGTGTCTTTGCTTAGGTTTGTAGACATCTAGATATCAATTTCCAAGGGGCATATGAGCTTTGAAGAAGACATGAGAGTCTTTGAATAAGAGCAGAAAGCATCTAAATCTGGTTACTATTTTGATCAACAAAAAATACAAAAAGAAATAGAAGAAAACATGAGAGAGCAGTTTGAAGAACACATTAAGTCCACGAGAACAACTTTATTAAGTCATCCATCAAGACAATCAAGAAGACAGTGAAGATATGAAGCATTGTCTACTTATTACTATGTATATGAGAAGACAAGAAGAGGAAGAGAGTTCGAAGACTGTAGTATACTATGCACGTAGACTAATCAAAGTAAATTTTCTTTTCTTTTTTTTTTTTCTTTCTTGTAAGACTAAAGTTCCAAAGGTTGTCAAGAAAAGAAACAAGTTATTTTGTATTGAATTTTAATTTGGATGAATAAAATTACAAGTTTATTTAATAAATGAGATTTGCAGCCAATTACAATTAAATTATAGGTTATTAGTAACAATTTCCAGGTTGTTTTGGTTAAAAAAATAAGTAGAGATTTAGCGGAAATCTTGACTGCCGCTAGAAAAAAGGTGCGGAGACTTTATAGCGACACTCAGTCTTATCCTTTAGCAGCAGTCACGACTGACGCTAATGATCATTTATAGTGGCAGTTTTTTGTGTTCTACCGGCAGTCGCTAAAACTACCGCTAGAACCCTTTAGCGACACCAAGTTTAGCGGTAGTTTGGCGACTGCTGGTGAGCTTTTTAGTGGTAGTTTTTAAGGTTTTTAACGGCAGTCAAACTGTCGCTAAAAATCAATTTTCTTGTAGTGGCCTTCGTAAGGTGACTGGACTCGGGGACTATTTAGTATAAATGTTGGGCCCGTTAAGAGACCATGCTGATGGACTCAAGGGTTCACTGTGTTCAGTAGTAAATTCAACCAAGCCTTGTAACAGAGGCTAGACTGAACCCATATGGCTTTTGTGAAGATCAATATTAGGGTCCCACGTTATACAAAGAGAGCCACGTTAGCTAATAATTAAAAGGGAAAGTGAGCCCACTTACTTAATGGGCCTAGGGCCCAAGATTAATATGATTAATCAATATGGGCGAATTTGGGTTTAGATATGAGTTTGAATCAGCAGATAAGGATAAGAGGGTAAGCCTTATCCACTTAAAGGGTATAGATCCAAATAAAGATTTGGATTAGGAAACTCCTAATCAGATTAGGAGATAAGCTCTTTAAGATCTATTTAAATAGAGGAGGGTGGATTACAAAAATGTTATACACTGCTTTCAGTTCTCCCTCTCCTTTTGCTCTTGCCGCCATATACCCTTTTCGATCTCCATTCTTGGACTGATCAAGATTGGATCTTGATTCTGATTTTTGCAAGAAAAAATAGATTTGAATTCATGCTCACCTCCCTTGCTTGATCCTTGCAGAAAGATTGTGATTCTTGCTAAAGGACTGCATTGCTGATCTGTTTCATCTCAAACTGTGCCATTTTTAGTGGAGGCAAGATTTAGTACTCTCTTTGGGCATGAACACCTACTTTGGGAGCTACATTTTTGGATTCCGTATTAGGTATTGCTCTCTCTTATTTTGGTTTCAAATATGCTTTAGTTTGTTTTAAGAACGATCTATGAAAAATGCAGTTTTTTTTTAAAACTGGGAATACGATTCTTGGAAGGGAGAAAAGAAAATTTTGAAATTTCGCCCAACCACCCTACATGGTTTGGCCATTCATATGATGGATCTCCCTTCCTTTCAAAGGCACAGAATTTTTCTCAAGGCTTAAACCTCACAACTTTGATGTGAGGCTTAAGCCTTTGTCAGGATGAGGCGTAAGCGTCAAGCCTTGTGGCACGAGGCATACCTTAAGGCGTAAAAAGGCATAAGCCTCAAGTATAAGTGTTTATTTGGTAGTTTAATGCAAAGAAATGTATTTGACGCATTTTCTTAGTTCAAAATATATGGAAGAAGCACTTTAATAATTATGAACCAAATAAATATAAGTAAAAAAATGAAAAACCAATTGGGGAAATCAAGCTCTATTAGTTTCTCTTAGTGTTTTAGAATAGTTCAATGCAAAACGAGTCAGTCAAGTTCCTAGTATCTCTTGGATACATCAAGTGATTTTTCTTATTATTCTAATTCGTTCATCCTAGGTTTATTATTTTTCTCATTTTTGTTCCTAATGGATTTATTTTCTTTTTATTGATTTGTTTGCACAGACCAAATTACTAAGTGTTATTCTTTCTTCTAAACTATTGAATGACTAGAAATCTAATATCCAATTACATGGATGATTCTTCATGTTTCCTTTCTTCCAAATTAGTCATTTGAATTTTTTGAGAACTTTACATTTTTAAACATGAAATGTAAAATGTTTATTATTGTTAGTTGATTCATTATTATTTTATTTAATGTAACCATTGCAACTTATTATTTATAAACTTTTATTTTATAGATATTTATACCTTCTATCATTCTAATTTAGTATATTATATGATATATTTATCAATTTATAAAATTTAATTAATTTTATTCTTAAGCTTTGAGGCTTACACCAAGCAATGCCTTGAGGCTTACGCATCACCTTTTTGGGCCATTACACCTCAACTATGCCTTTAACCTCTTAAAACCATGTTTGGCCATGCCTAATATGATTCCTAACCTTCCCAATACTAATGGATGTCTTTATTTTCGTGCCTTGGTGATTATGTCTCTAGAGTTCAAGTTATTTAGTTATTTCTTTTTTATTACATATTTCCCATAAGTCCTCTCTATCTACTTGGTGTCTGTTTGGGAAGGCTGTAGTGCAAAGGTTTTGAGTAGGTAGGTGCCACACGAACTATCCATAAGCTATGTATGGTGAAAAATCCAAAGAATCCAAATTGATTTTCTGTCGGTAATTTAATTTTAGGCTTATCCACTTCAACTTCTTTATATAGCTTATCTGGAGCACTTAAAGCAGTTGGGTCTTTTAGCTAGATCTTCAGCTCAACCCTCCCAAAGAGGCCCTAGAATTCTTCATCCAAGCTTTCCTAGGCCTGCATTGTTCCTTAACAATGCTTTCATTTACACCTATATCTCTTAGATTCCTAGGTTTATAGACTAAATTCTAATTTATAAACATAATTGGGTTGTGTTAAAATTCAATTTGGATGCACCGAAAATGATACATTTTCGGTCCACCATTCATAATTTACCATGTATCCTTATATTAGATCAAATGGAAAACTAATTACTGAAAAAACTCTTGAGTCTTCTTGGCCTGTCATAGATCTCTTTACTTTTTTTCCTTTAAGTCTCTCTCTCTCTCTCCATTTCTTCTAACATCTTTATTTGGTCCTTTGAAGCTTTTAATAAGATCCAATGGTTTTCAAGAAAGAGTAGTAACCTAGATCAAAAACTCTCTCCCCAAGGTTTCTCCCATTTCTTTCTTTAGTTCTATAAATTTGTTTACAAAGATTAAAAATTTCCAAAATGTTATAATTTGTAGAAAAAGAGAGAGCAAGAATTCATATTAGAATACAAAACAATAGGAATTAAATTTTAGAAAGTTGGAGATTTGAATAAATGAATCACCATCACCATCTGATTTTAAAATGTAACCTAGATAGTAAAAGACACAATAGAGAGAGAGAGAGATATGAGGAGGAGATATTTGTTGATGGATTTCATAAGAGCAACTAGGAAGGATTTGTGAAGAAGTCGATTGGAGCATAAAGTGAAACTCTCTTTGCCCCATTGATAGCTTGGCCAAAAATAATAAATATGGAGAGAGAAAAAGAGAGTGTAAAATTTAGCTAAAAAAAAATTGTTTAGGACAAAGATGGTTGATGAGGAAGGGTGGTGAGAGTTTAGACGAGAGAAAGGGTTTTGAGTGAGAAAAAGAAATTAAAGTATATTGTGTTTCTTCAATTGTTTGATAAATTAGAAAAAGACAAAGACGTCCAATAGGACAACCGTTAAACAAGTTTCATGTATCGATCTTTTTAAAATTCTTGCTCAATTGAGTTCATATTAGCCTTGCTCTTCAAGAAGGAAGACTATTTTAAAGCCTATCAATCCCATGAAGAGTATTTTAGGGAACTTATAATAGCTCATTATAACATGGGGAATGTTTTTTATTGCCTAGGTGATGTAGGACCATCTTAGTTTTAGTCCTTAGAGAATGTTGAATAGTCTTCTTGATCAAAGTTCTATGGTTGTTGATGGTTGTTATGACTTCTTGAAGGAAAAATAGAGAAAATAGGGAGAGAAAGAAAAGAGAAAATACCTGGAATCACTCATAGGGTGCCTAGAATCACTCTAGGGCATGGGAATCACTCACCAWAGCTARCATAARSTAAAGAMAACTCAATAWRMTTCATTGCCTTTGTGTAAAACGTCCATACATATTTATAGACTCTAAATTCATAATAATCCTAGGAGTCAAACAGTTTTCTTTTCGGTAAGTTACTTACCCAGGTAAATGCAATTGCCTAGGTAAGTTTTTCCTAGGAAACACTTACCCAGTAAGTGCATTTACCCATGTTCTTTTATTTCCTAGATAAACAAGGAAGTGACCATTTTAGCCATAAAAACCCATTATTAAAAGGGGCATTTTTGTCCCATTCAAGTGTTGGCAACTTTCCCCCTAGGTGGGAAAGTTATTTACCCACCTAGGGGATGGGTATCACTTGGGTAAGTGATACTTAGGAAAGTAAATTTTCCTTGGTTCCTATATAAATCGGAAGAAAGAACATAGAATTCTTGGCCAATGGAAACCAAAATCTCATTGACCAACTTGCCCCCTCTCAAAATCCAAAAAAAGAATGTCCCCATAATAGTCTTAGGAGTCCAATTGTTAGACTTTATAATCCTAGTAAGACTAAAACTAAGCTATCATATCCTATTTCAATTCAAAGAAGACTCAACAACTCTAATCCTACTTATGCAATGACTTTGGAATTTTAAACATAAATAAAATATAACTAGACAAATTAAACCCTTCCATTGGATCACATAGAAATTTGCAAAATGACAAAAATACCCCTACTATCCAAAAATACAAAAAAATATAAATTTCATAAAATTCCAATTTTGCCTCTTCAATTCCTGCATCATTCTCCCCAGTTCAAAAAAAAAAAAAATAGTCCTTGAGTTTTGAAGAATTTGAGGACCAAAAGTTGATATGCCACAATTACAAGAGTAGGACTTTCCTCAGCTACATACTTAGACTGTAGAGTAGAGGCCACACACAAAACTAGAAAAGGATCTTAAAAAAAATGTATTTTTGAAATACTGCCCTCCATAACCATCTTTGTTAAATCACCAATAATATTAGTTTCTTGAACACTTGATTCATCAACCAACAATTGTGATGAATCTTCCCCTTGCTTATCTAAACTCTCAACTGCAACTTTTGGAACTTTACCTTAAACCTCTAGCTTAGGAATCTCC